TTTTAGAAAGAAACAAACATGAATTAAACTTGTAAGATTCAAGTTAAGCAACGTTTTGTCTAAGGCTCGGTTTCACCAACGTTGTTTAACTTTAAGCTTAGCTCAATTCGTTCTTTGTCTCTTTCCCACTATTTTAGAAAGAAACAAACATGAATTAAACTTGTAAGATTCAAGTTAAGCAACGTTTTGTCTAAGGCCCGGTTTCACCAACATTATTTAACTTCAAGCTTAGCTCAATTCGTTCTTTGTCTCTTTCCAACTATTTTAGAAAGAAACAAACATGAATTAAACTAATATTAAAGTCAAGCGACGTTTGGCCAAAGACCCGGTTTCACCAACGTTGTTTAACTTTAAGCTTAGCTCAATTCGTTCTTTGTTTTTTTCCAACTATTTTAGAAAGAAACAAACATGAATTAAACTAAGATTCAAGTTAAGCAACGTTTTGTCTAAGGCTCGGTTTCACCAACGTTATTTAACTTTAAGCTTACAATTAGTTTCGTTCGTTCTTCGTCTCTTTCTAAAGCAACAGTTGGAAGGAGACAAAGGACGAATTAGGCTTGAAGTTACGCAGCATTGTTGAAACCGGACCTTAGAAGTATTACGGCGCAACTTTGCTGTCCCGCGAAAATCTATTGGCATTTTGCCTGAAGACGCGGTAATAATATCGATCGGCTGAATCATGATAATGTACCGACGGTACGAGCTGCGCGCTACCAGTTGCCCCTCGCGACAGATGTCGCCAGTATGAAAGATTCGCCGGCTCCAGTGCTCGCGGTTGTCTCTTGGTCGTTCGGCGCGCCGGGATATCAAATATCGCGTTACGTGCAGGATATGATAGTCCTGAGGTCGCCAATTTCGACAAAGGTGGTGTCGACTCGCTGTCGCCGTAAACTCGGTAGCTCGTTGGCGCAGCCGCTCGCTTCGTGGCGGAATCTCGCGGTGTTTCGCGCGCGCACCGATCCGTGTCCTAACCTCGTTCGCGGGTGGTCGAGTTGGACGTTTCGCCGTCACGTACGTAAGTATCTCTCGACGAAATCGCCGTCGAGTATCACCTCGGCGCGAGCCGGAGGGCTCGTCGTGCCTCGGCGCGCGGGGCGACCGCGAGGAAGAAGAGCGGAGCTCGCTCGCGAGGCATGTGCGCGCCGCGTGCCCTTCGCGCGACGTGGAAAAAGGGCGCACGGCCGGGAATCGTTGCTCGCGCGCGCGCCGCCTCCTCGGCCGGCCCGTTAATCGCGGGCGCTCGCTGCAGGTGCCCGCCGCGCTCTCCTTCCTTTCCTCCCCCTCCAGACGCCTGTCGCTGCACCGGCCATGTGCTCGCGCGCGTCGACACGTGCACGCGGCGCGTATGAATGAAACGTCACTCGCGCCAACGCGCCCGCGAGCGCATCGATCGGATCGCGCGTCCGCCGATTCCCGTCTTGCGCTCGGCTAATGATTAATCGCGCTTTCCGTCGTCGAGCGAGATAAAACCGCCGCCGCCGCCGTTACGCCTCGCGATATTGGGGCGCGGTGATTAATCGCGGGGGGGGGGGGGAAGGGAACGCGATCTGTCGTCGGCAGCGCGCGCTAAACGCGGCCGCACGCGTGTATACTCGTGACGTATCGCGCGATGCATATTCATGGCGGTAAGGTGACATAACGTAAGAATGACGGGCAGTTCTCTCGGCGCCCGGCGGTGGCCGAGATTCGGCGATCGAATGTTGCGTGTGGAAATTTTCGGAATAGATTCCGATCGGAATTGCTCAATGATCCTCCTAAGATTTCTATTGTGTTTTCCCGGGGGAAACGGAGTAATTCCGATCGAAATCCACCGCGTTTTCATAATAGGTACCCTGTTCCCGGGCAGCACAAGCTGACGTTACTTGCCGTCATTCTGACGTCGAAGCGTCATCTCGACGTCTCCTTTTTCCATTTCATCGGCCGAGTCCTTTTTGTATGCTTGTTTTTTAATTACACTAGGACGACACGAGCGCGACACTTGATAGTTGTCGAAATTCAATCATCTTGTCGCAGCTCGTAGCACGAAGTGAGACGGCCAATCATTATCGCGGAAAAGAGGCGGCAACTTGGAGACTTTCGAGTATCGACTTAACACGCCTTCTTTTATTTCAATTGTGTCATATTATTTTTTTTCTACTTTTAATTTTGTATACAATACCCTTCGACAAAGGAGTGAAACTGGTCGAAGTGTCGCCGGCTCGTTACCTGCTTCGTAATCCACAACTTATGCTTCTCCTCCGCTGCATCTTTCCCGGCGGACCAGCTTCCCCGGGAGACGCAATGAATTTGAAAGTAAAAAGATGGTTAATCCGTTATAATTCTCAACTTGTTCTTTTTCGTCGTTGAACACGGATTCCGATTAACTTAGCAGGGTCTACTAAAGATAGCACATTCGCAGTAAACGGGCCAAGAGTTTCTGCGATATTCCTCGTTCAATTCTTCGCTGAGGAGTCAAAAGTTAATTGAGATCTCGTGCAATTTCCTCTGTCTCTCTCTTTCTGCCTCTAAGGTTTCCTAAGCGAAAATTAGTCGCATCGACAGTCTGTTCCGGACCCAGCGAACGAGCGCGAGCGAGCACGAACGAACGACGGGTTTCGACGCAAAAATGAGGCGCGCCGCGAGTATTCGCGGGCGAATTGCTCACACGTGCTTGGGCTTTTCGTTACGTGCACTATACATTTTCAGTACTGGCAGTGAATATCGGAACGCAGGCTCGTTTGCTTCATCATAGATCGCGGACGTTTTTGCGCGACGTCGATCGCTTCGCGGTATTCAACGGGTTAAAGAGAGAATAGCGCATTGCAATTTCCAAGACGTGTGCTAAACGTGTTCTATTCTTTTTCCGTTTTTCTTTTACAGTTGTCCAACGAGTCGAGGCGATTATCGGGGCCGAGCGGAGGCGCACGACGTCAACGTTGGAGCACGACATGGTGAAGATGACCGCACCGACGCAATCCGTCGATGGCCAAACGCAATTCGGTAACGCGCGCGAGCTCGAGCCGTCGGACTGCATCTTCGTCTTCAAGAGCACGTTCTCGGATTACGAGGAGCCGCCCTCCGACGAAGAGGTGAGTGCCGCAACGTTCGCTCGCCGCTACATCGCTTTTCGTAGGCGGCGGTTCAACAAGGCGAGATTTTACGCTACAAAGTGGTGCGTCCAGTTGCGAAAACTGGTTTACGTATCTTTCGAGTATCGCCGGAATGTCGCAATCGCATCCTGCGCCCGATCGAATCCCCGTAAAAAGAAAGTTGTGCTTGGTTTACTTTTTTATTCTTAAATTGCGACATCGCGCGGTGCAATATGTAATTTGTTACGGCGGCGTGTAATTTTCGTATGGGCCGAAAATTGCGGCTCGGTTTGCCGGGCGAAAAGTGCCGTTAGTTCCGCTTCTCTCGCGAGAGCTCGGTATAAATTATACTCGTTAATTGCCACATTGATGTCGCAATATTCGATTTAATATTA